GTCTCTCCCATATCACACACAGCGGCAGCGGGGGTGCAGCGAGCGCACTGTGAGACAAGTGCCCTGTGGGAGGCCAGAGATGCCAGGGCACTGCTGTGGAGGCCACACTGACCTGGGACTGATGAGCCCCCCGCCCCCAGCTTAGCTACAGAAGTGACTTCATCCCTCTACCCTAACCAGGAGCCCGGGTACGTGGCAACCCTACAGGCACACTGGTGAGCTTGACTCTTGGCTCTGTCCCAAGAGTGCCATCCTCAAGTACGCGCTCGTGGGATGAAAGATCCCTTGCCTAGGACAAGGGGGTGCAGGGGGGGTGCTGGATTTTCCCCTCTGCCAGTCTATGTGGGACATGGCCTGCCTGGCTTGTTTACACGGACCCTTATGGGGGCCACTCACTCCCGCGGGTTCAGAGGTTTTCCCTCCACCCCCGCATCCATCAGAGCCACCGCACTTGGCACACCTAGACTGCGCACGCTGAGAGACAGGCTTGTGGGACTCACGGCCCTGGCGCTCTCAGGGTTCTTAAGTTGGGGTGGGAAGACAGGTCGCCTCGTATTCTTGGGCTCAGGCTCACAAGAAAGGAAAGATGTGGTGGGGCTTTGAGAACAGGGATTTAGACCCGTGGAGAGATGTGACCCGCTGTGCACCTGCCGCAGGCAGAATAACAGGTCACATTCTTTTTTTAAAAAAAACATTTACCATATGGATGCCAACCCTGGAGGCAGTGGCCACTGCGCCGGCCCCCGGCATCTCTCCAAATGCATACGTGCTGCAGCAGGAAATTCACAAGTCAACGTTCTTGACAGCTTCCCTACTGGAAATGGTCATTTTTCCTCTAACATCACTGTTGCAACCTTTATCCTACCAAATGGGTTTTAAATTATCATGAGGCATTACCACCCAAACCCTATCTTTTAGATGGCAATTAGTTTTTTATACGACTTGTTTTTTTCTTTTTTAAGATTATTTATTTGAAAGAGTTATACAGAGAAGGAGAGGCAGAGAGAGAGAGAGAGAGAGAGAGGTCTTCCATCTGCTGGTTCACTTCCCAATTGGCCGCAACAGGCGGAACTGCGCTGATCCAAAGCCAGGAGCTTCTTCCGGGTCTTCCACGCGGGTGCAGGGGCCCAAGGGCCTGGGCCATCCTCCACTGCTTTCGCAGGCCACAGCAGAGAGCAGGATGGGAAGTGGAGCAGCCAGGACTCATCCCATATGGGACGCCGGCGCTTCAGGCCAGGGCGTTAACCTGCTGCGCCACAGCACCAGCCCTTAATTTTTTGCATTTAAATTATACACATGAGAGTACTTCACAAAACTCAGGGGCAGATAAAATTAAAAGATATTTATTTTGGTACAAAAAATACTGAAACCCATGCAATTTTTTCTTAAATGCATTTTCCACCACCTTTTTGAAGACCTCTTATATGAATGGATTTCCATTTTTTTGTACCAAAATAAACATCTTTTCCATGAACCCCCCCCCCCCTTAAAGCTATATGTATTTATTTGAAGAGCAAAGAGAGATCTTTCATTCACTGGTTCACTCCTCCAATGGCTGCCACAGCCAGGTCTGGGCCGGGCTTAAGCCGTGAGCCAGGAACTCCATCCAGGTCTCCCACAGGGGTAGCAGGGGCCCAAGTACTCAGGTCTTCATCTGCTGCCTTCCCAGGCGCATTACCAGGACGCCAGATCAGAAGAGGAGCGGCTGGGGCTTGAACCTGGGATGGGATGCCTGCATTCCATGTGGCGGCTCAGCCCACTGTGCCACCATGCGGGACCCTGAAGTCTCCTTGTTGTCTGAGGGTGGAGCACTGAGTTACCTCCCCCACACTGAGGAGGAGTCCTGAGACCACATGAACCAATGGAGGGAGCCCCAGGTAAGAACAGTTTGTCAAGGCAACTGATACCTGGGATCCCAGACCTGGTAGGTGATCTGGTCAGAAGCCACAGCAAGATTTCCTCTGTGTGGAGTAGCACATGGCATAAAAAGCTTGTAAGTCTACAAATCCCACAGGGAGACAGGGTGGGAGCTTGCTTTACACCATGCCTTTACCTGTGCATTAGGAGCCAGCCCTTATGATGTCTTGCTGTTTGTTTTTTTTTTTTTTTTTTTTTAATGATGTATTTATGGGGCCAGCGCTGTGGCTCAGAGGGTTAACACCCTGACCTAAGCGCGGGCATCCCATATGGGCACTGGTTTGAAACCTGGCTGCTCCACTTACAATCCAGTTCTCTGCTATGGCCTGGGAGAGCAGTGGAAGACGGCCCAAGTGCTTGGGCCCCTGCACCTGCGTGGGAGACCCTGAAAAATTCCTGGCTCCTGGCTTCGGATCGGCGCAGCTTTGGCCGCCGCTGTCAGTTGGGGAGTGAACCTTCGGATGGAAGACCTCTCTCTCTCTCTCTCTCTGCTTCTGCTCTTTCTGTGTAACTCTTTCAAATAATAATAATAAAACTTTCAAATAATCATTAAAATAATTATAAAATGTAATTTTTATAAAATAAATAATATTTATTTATTTGAAAGAGTTACACAGAGAGAGAAGGAGAGGCAGAGAGAGAGAAAGTGAGGTCTTCCATCTGCTGGTTCACTCCCCAGATGGCCACAACGGCCCGCTCTGCGCCGATCCAAAGCCAGGAGCCAGGAGCTTCTTCTGGTCTCCCCCGTGGGTTTAGGAGCCATCTTTCATTGCTCTCCCAGGCCACAGCAGAGAGTGGGATCAGAAGTGGAGCAGCCGGGTCTCAAACTGGTGCCCATATGGGATGGCGGCACTGCAGGCGATGGCTTTAACCCGCTACGCCACAGTGCTAGCCCGTCTTGCTGGTTTTTCCAACCTCATCAGGAAGACCTGTGACAGCACTTAAATCTTTGTGAACAAGGAGTGGCTTCAGCTGAACCAGCAGCTGATCCCGGTTCTCCCAGGAAGAGGGAGACAGCAGGATGCAGGGACAGGTGGCAAGCTAGCTTGTCACACACACAGCACCCACTGCCTGGCACGGAACTGCTGATGAGCCAAGAATGCTCTTAGCACTGTGAGTTGGCATCACTTTATTTTAAACAAATTTTTTAGACTTTTTTATTTTCAGTTTTATTTGAAAGGTAGATCTTCCATCCCCTGGTTCACTCACCAAATGCCTGCCACAGTCAGGGCTGGGCCAGTCCAAAGCCAGGAACCCAGGACTGCTTCTGAGTCTCCTACACGGGTGGCAGGATGCATGTACTTGAGCCATCTTCTGCGTCTCCCAGGGCACACATTAGCAGGGAGCTGCGTCAGAAGCAGAGTAGCTAGGCCGGCGCCGCGGCTCACTAGGCTAATCCTCCGCCTAGCGGCACCGGCACACCAGGTTCTAGTCCCGGTCGGGGCGCCGGATTCTGTCCCGGTTGCCCCTCTTCCAGGCCAGCTCTCTGCTGTGGCCCAGGAGTGCAGTGGAGGATGGCCCACGTGCTTGGGCCCTGCACCCCATGGGAGACCAGGAGAAGCACCTGGCTCCTGCCATCGGATCAGCGCGGTGCGCCGGCCGCGGCGGCCATTGGAGGGTGAACCAACAGCAAAGGAAGACCTTTCTCTCTGTCTCTCTCTCTCACTGTCCACTCTGCCTGTTTAAAAAAAAAAAAAAAAAAAGAAGAAGAAGAAGCAGAGTAGCTGGGACAGGAACCGGGCACTCCACTAAGTGATGTGCGTGTCCCGAGAGGAGAATTAACAGCTACACTGAACGTGCATCCCCGAGCTGGCATAACTTCAGCCAGAGGGCAAGGGAGTCGTTACTGCTGCAGGCAAACGTATTGTATCAGGCCGCTGACTGCTGGTTCAACAGCTTCTGGTCCCACTGCTCTCCTCTGTGATCTTAGCCCAGCGGCCACTGCTCTCCTCTGATCTTAGCCCAACGGCCACTGCTCTCCTCTGATCTTAGCCCAATGGCCACTGCTCTCCTCTGATCTTAGCCCAGCGGCCACTGCTCTCCTCTGATCTTGGCCCAGCGGCCACTGCTCTCCTCTGATCTTGGCCCAGCGGCCACTGCTCTCCTCTGAGCTTAGCCCAGCAGCCACTGCTCTCCTCTGATCTTAGCCCAACGGCCACTGCTCTCCTCTGTGACCTTAGCCCAGCAGCCACTGCTCTCCTCTGATCTTAGCCCAGCGGCCACTGCTCTCCTCTGACCTTAGCCCAGCGGCCACTGCTCTCCTCTGATCTTGGCCCAGCGGCCACTGCTCTCCTCTGTGACCTTAGCCCAACGGCCACTGCTCTCCTCTGATCTTGGCCCAGCGGCCACTGCTCTCCTCTGACCTTAGCCCAATGGCCACTGCTCTCCTCTGATCTTAGCCCAGCAGCCACTGCTCTCCTCTGAGCTTAGCCTAGCAGCCACTGCTCTCCTCTGTGACCTTAGCCCAGCAGCCACTGCTCTCCTCTGATCTTGGCCCAGCGGCCACTGCTCTCCTCTGATCTTGGCCCAGCGGCCACTGCTCTCCTCTGATCTTGGCCCAGCAGCCACTGCTCTCCTCTGATCTTGGCCCAGCGGCCACTGCTCTCCTCTGACCTTAGCCCAACGGCCACTGCTCTCCTCTGATCTTGGCCCAGCGGCCACTGCTCTCCTCTGACCTTAGCCCAATGGCCACTGCTCTCCTCTGACCTTAGCCCAGCGGCCACTGCTCTCCTCTGTGACCTTAGCCCAGCAGCCACTGCTCTCCTCTGATCTTGGCCCAGCGGCCACTGCTCTCCTCTGTGATCTTAGCCCAGCGGCCACTGCTCTCCTCTGTGATCTTAGCCCAGCGGCCACTGCTCTCCTCTGACCTTAGCCCAGCAACCACTGCTCTCCTCTGACCTTAGCCCAGCGGCCACTGCTCTCCTCTGACCTTAGCCCAGCGGCCACTGCTCTCCTCTGTGATCTTGGCCCAGCGGCCACTGCTCTCCTCTGTGATCTTGGCCCAGCGGCCACTGCTCTCCTCTGTGATCTTAGCCCAACAGCTGAACCGCAGCTCAAGGTGAGAGACCTAGAAGTTGCATTTCTTTCCTTTTTTTTTTTTTAATTAATTTTATTGGAAAAATCAGCAGGTTAGTAAGATATGAACATAGACAACATTTTAGCCAGTAAACAGAGTGAATGCCATTTACAAATAGTAAGAAGACATTTTGAAAATTTCAACGTTTTAGGATCCAATCATGCTAAGAAAATATTAATCTGCAAATTCTGTATTTTCTCAACTGTGAAGTGATAGAACTACGAATTAAAATGTTATCAGTAAGTCATGCAGAAAAATTCATGTTTTTTATTTAATAAATGTGAATTTACAAAGTGCAACTTTTGTATTGTTGTGGCTACCCCCCCCAATCTCCCTCCCTCCTGTGACCCTCCCCTCCCCTACTCCCTCTCCCATACCGCCCTTCATCGAGTTTCATTTTCAATTACCTTCATATACAGAAGATCAACTTAGTATACACTAAGCAAGGATTTCAACAGGCTGCACTCACACAACCGCACAAGGTATAGGGTATTGTTCGACTAGTAGTGTTGTTTTTAAGTTTCATAGTAAAACACATTAAGGACAGAGATCCTACGTGGGGAGCATGTACCCAGTGACTCCCGTTGTTGATTTAACAATTGGCACTCTTATTTATGACGTCAGCAATCACCCAAGACTCTTGCCATGAGCTGTGTAGGCTATGGAAGCCCCTCTGAGCTTGTTTAGTCAAGGCCGTATCACAGTGGAGGTTCCTTCCTCCCTTCAGAGAAAGGCGCCTCTCTCCTTGATGGCCTGTTCCTTCTGCTGGGGTCTTGTTCACCAGGATCTTTCATTTAGGTTGTTGTTTGCCACCGTGTCATGGCTTCCCAAGAAGTTGCATTTATTTCTACAAAGGCACGAGTGAGAATGTTCTCAACTTGCTAAGGATTTCTGGTCATCTGATTGAGTTGAAGATGAGTTTTTGACTCCAACTTGAGTCTGATTTCCTTTCTTCTTCTCCCGTTGTGACACTTGTATCACAAATCCCTAAAAACACAAGCTGACGAGTCTATCTTGACGCTCTGTGGTCGCTCCTCCTGGGAAGGATTCATAGCATGCAGGCGGATGGAACAAGGCTTGGGCTGGGCTGGCTGGGCTGGGCTGGAGACGCTGCCCGCCTGTTTTCCAGAGCGCTGGCGTGCGTGATTCTCAGTTCATTTTCAGAGTGTCCAGGATCGTCGCCGTGATCTCCGAAAGACTTCGGTCCACGCTGACCTCCATGAAGTTTTCCGGAGCACACGGGGGCTCCAGGGTGTCAAACTGGGACTGCAGTAACTCGGGGGGCATAAAGTGTCCCTTCCTCTGGAGCAGGCGTCCAGAGATGGCCGCAAATGAGCCACTCAGATACACCACCAAGAGCTGCACTGCTGTTGGCTTGTCTTCCTTCCCCGGCTCCTCACCTGTGGGAGCGGCGCCATCTTTTCCTCGTATTAGGATGTCTCTGTACATTTTCTTTAGGGCTGAACAGGCTAGAACCACATGCTGTCCTGAGGCTATGTCTCTGTTTTAAAAAGAGAGAGAGAGAGAGAGAGAAGCTAACAACATTTAAAATAACCCATGCTGTGGCGTACCAGGTAAAGCCACCACCTGCAGCGCCGGCATCCCATAGGGGCACCGGTTCGAGTCCCAGCTGTTCCACTTCCCATCTAACTCTTTGCTATAGCCTGGGAAAACAGTGGAAGATGGCCCAAGTCCTTGGGCCCCTGCACCCATGTCAGAGACCTGGAAGAAGCACCTGGCTTCAGATCAGCGCAGCTCTGGCCATTGTGGCCATTTGGGGAGTGAACCAGCAGATGGAGGACCTCTCCGCCTCTCTGTAAGTCTGCCTTTCAAATAAATAAATATTTTTAAACCAAAATAACCCATGTCAGTTCCGGGCGCAGGACTCCTGTCTTACATCCCAGCCCATGGACGGCATTAGAGAGGGCGGGGAAGCCTTGGGCGGTGGTGTTTCTGGTTACAGCCCTTCCCCTAGGGGGCTAAAGCGTCAGGCACAGTACAACTGCCTTTTCCCCCTGCCTCTTCTGCAGTGCGCTGGGAGAGCGGGCGGTTGCCGGCACAGAGCTGGAGGGGGCACTGGTCTCTGTTGTCGAGGTGAGCAGAAAGTGAAGTTTCCAGAGTTGCACTGAGGACAAAACTCCAGTGAGGGGCGGGAAACCAGAGTCCACCCTGGAGAAGTACGATGGCATCCCTGTAGCTCATGGGTGGGAGGCGCACATTTTGCGGTTGGGAAAGGACTCAGGATTCAGATGCACAGGTAACCAGCGGGCCTGGGGCTCTGTACAGAGTTCCTTTCCAAACTTTGGGATGTGTCCTTGAAGGGGCTACAGGCACATTAGACGGGAGACCCAGCAGTGAAGTGCATCATCAAAACCGTCAATGCTCAAGTCCATTCTGTAAAACAGCATTTGCATACAGCCTGCGCACACCCTCCCGTGTGCCCTATTTTCTGAAACACAGGTTTATTTACTTGAAAGGCAGAATTACACAAAGAAAGGGAGACGCACAGATCTCTCATCTGCTGGTTCACTCTCCAAATGGCCACAACGCCTGGGGCCGGGCCAGCTGGAAGCCAGGAGCCAGGAACTCCATCCAGGTCTCCCCTGTGGAATGGCAGGGGCCCAGCACTTGGGCCATCCTCTGCTGCTTTCCCAGGCCATCGCAGAGAGCTGGATCAGAAGTGGAGCAGCCGGACAGGGACCTGATTCAGAGCTCATATGGGATACCCATGTCACAGGCAGTGGCTGACCCTGGCTGAACTGTCAGCCCTGCTCCTGTATACTTTAAAACACCTCTGCATAACTTATAATTCCTAATGCCTTGTAAACAGTTATGCTGCTTAGGGAACAGTGACAAGGAAAATGTGTGAGGGTACTTCAAAAAGTTCATAGACAATGGAATTACAATTTACTTGCATGCAAAAAAAAAAATTTGAAACTCATGCGTAGGAGTCCATGTTCAGTCACAGGCAAAACTGCGTTGTATTTTCTATCTGCAGCTGCCTGAGTCTCTGGGTGCTGTGGGCTGTTCAGTCACAGGCAAAACTGCGTTGTATTTTCTATCTGCAGCCGCCTGAGTCTCTGGGTGCTGTGGGCTGGCTGTGCTGAGCTGCCAGCCATTCCCAAGACAGCAGTGAGCACACGGTGTTGTGGTTTTTTCAACAATTATTTTGTTTTCCAGTTTATGTATTTTTTTAAGATTTATTTATTTATTCAAAAGAGAGTTACACAGAGAGGGGAGAGAGATACCTTCCATCTACTGGTTCACTCCCCAATTGGCTGCAATGGCTGGCTCTGCGCCGATCCAAAGCCAGGAGCCAGGAGTTTCTGCCAGGTCTCCCACGTGGGTGCAAGGGCCCAAGGACTTGGGCCATCCTCTACTGTTTTCCCAGGCCATAGCAGAGAGCTGGACAGGAAGTGGAGCAGCCAGGTTTTGAACCAGCGCCCATATGGGATGCCGGCGCTTCAGGCCAGGACGTTAACCCACTGCACCACAGCGCTGGCCCCTTATGTATTTATTTGTACTTGAAAGACAGAAGCAGAGACATGCAGACAAAGAAAGATCTATGCCCAGGTTCATTCCCTAAACGTCTGGTCAGGCCAAAGCCAGGATCCCCACCTGTGTCTCCCATGTGGGTGATAGGGATCCAACTACTTGAGCCATCACTTCCCGTCTGCCACAGTGTGCATTAGCAGGGAACTAAAATTGGGAGTGGAGCCAGGATTCGGATCCAGCCACTCTGATATGGGATGTCGGCATCCCAAGCGTATCTTAGCCACTCCACTACATGCACACCCAAGACTTTATTTAACCTGGGTCCAGAGGTTGGGGGTCAATCTATCCTCAGGCTTCTCACTTTTTTTTTGACAGGCAGACTTAGACAGTGAGAGAGAGAGACAGAGAGAAAGGTCTTCCTTCCATTGGTTCACTCCCCCAATGGCCTCCACAGCCAGCGCTGTGCTGACCCGAAGCCAGGAGCCAGGAGCCAGGCGCCTCCTCCTGGGGTGCAGGGCCCAAGCACCTGGGCCATCCTTCACTCAGGCCACAGCAGAGAGCTGGCCTGGAAGAGGAGCAACTGGGAATAGAACCTGGCTCCCATATGGGATGCCGGCGCCGCAGGCGGAGGATTAACCAAGTGAGCCATGGCGCCGGCCCCAGCTGCTCACTTCTGCGTCCATTACTGGTCTATATTACAGCGCAGGTAAACTCTGCTGAGGCTATCTGCTAGAAACCAAGGCGGCAGGAGGTCAGACCCTAAAACCCTAAACCCTGCAAAGTTAAAATCAAGGGGCCGGCATTGTGGTGCGGCAGGTTGAGCCACTGCCTGTGACATCATCATCACTTATCAGAGCACCGGTTCTGGTCTAAGCTGCTCTGCTTCCGATCCAGCTCCCTGCGAACACACCTGGGAAAGCAGCGGAAAATGGCCCACGTCCTTGGGCCCCTGCACCCACGTGGGAAACCCAGAGTTCCAGGCTCCTGGCTTTGGTACGGCCCAGCTCCTGCTGTTGTGGCCACTTGGTGGATGGAAGATCTTGTCTCTCCCTCCACCACCACGCGTTTCAAATAAATAAATAATAAACCTTTTTACAAAATGTCTTCATCTTAGAAAGCAAGATTTATAACCCATTTTCTGATTTTTCTTTTTTTCTTTCCATGTCTCAACTGGGGTTTCCAGTGGGTTCAGGCCCTTGGGGTTGGGAGGGGTGTTTGCTCAGGGCAGACTACAGAGCTGGACACTGCGGGACTGTAATCTCAGGGGCCAAGTGTCTGTGGGCTTACAAATGCTACCAGGTCCTCCTGGGATCCAGCCTGAGGTAGGGGACAAGTGATGGCTGAGGTCGTCTGTAACAGGGACAGCACCGTTAACCTTGGTTCTCAGCCCTCACTGCGACACGTTCTAAGTGCTAGGCACCACCTCACGTACTCGTCATACTAATCTGTGAGCGGGAGCTGTATCGATCCCCACTTCACAGAGGAAGCAGCAGGCTGTCGAAACCAAGAGGCTGATGGGGAGTCCCAGGCTAGCAATTCTAGAAAGAGCCGCAGTGAGCTCCGTGGCTGCCTGAATCGTGGCCGGTTCCTTGCCAGAAGTGCCTTCCATTCCCGAGGCCCTTCATCCCCAGTCAGTTCTGATTTCACGGATGGATTTTTCTTCCTGTGGTTTCCACTGGCTTTTCCTGATTCACTGGCTTGTGCCAAGGCCTGGAGCTCTCTTACCTTAGTAAAACATCGTGCAGCGTGCAGAGCCACGGGATCCTATCCTGCAATTAAAGCGGACACCAAGTGACTTCTCCAGATGTTGTTTGCACAGACAATGTGGCAGTCACATCTCAGGTGCTAAGGAGCCGGGAGACCGGGTCCAGGGCTGGGCAGCTAACCACACACACACACATTCCCCCTTTTAAAATTTAGATCTTAGTGGCTCTCTTCAGAGCGGGGGCAGGGGTCACTCCATGGAGTGGGACAAGCAAAGCCGTTCCTCAACAGCGCCCCAGCCACGGGACCAGGCCCCCCACGCCCACTTTCTGGAAATCTGTCCTAGGAAATTCTCCAACTCTGTTTAGGTCTTCCAGTTTACCAGCATTAAAAACACTGTACAAAATGACCACCAGGCTGTGTGTTCAAGGTGCATGTGAAACATAAATGGGATTCTGTGTTCAGACCGGGCCCCCCCAACAAGGCTATCTCAGTATACACGCTAACATCCCCAACTCTGCACAAACCCCAAACCCAAACACGGCTGCTCCCAAAGATCGTGGATATGGGCTACTCAGCCTGTATTGGGTTCTGGATGAACCAAAGAGGCAGGGAAGTTTATTCAATTACCAATGATTCTTTTCGTAAAAACCTTTTACAAAGAATTTATTTATTAAGGTGAAAGGCAGAGAGAGGGAGAAGAAAAACCCCAGAGCTTAATCAGTAGACACCTGGGGATGGAGGAGCCCAGCACACTTTCCAGATTCACTACAAATACTGCCCTGATAATCAGGAAAAACGGCACTCCTCAAAATGTGCTCAAAACTTATTTAGTTATTTAAAAGGCAGAGAGAGAGAGAGAGACAGAGACAGGCAGGGAGCCATCTTCCGTCTGCTGGTTCACTCCCCAAATGCCCACAACAGATGGGGAGGGCCAGGCCGAACTGAGGAGCCAGGAGCTTCGTCCTGGTCTCCCTTAGTGCACAGCAGGTACCCAACTACTTGAGCCACCACCGCGGCCTCCCAGTGTGGGCGTTAGCCAGCAGCTGGAAGGCAGGGTGGAACCAGCACTCCAACGCCGGCGTCCCAAGAGGGGTCTTCAGCGGCTGCGCCATCAACCCCACCCCCAGCCCTCTAAACATACTGTGCAGCTGAAGTCTACTCAGGCAGCACCGGCGTGGGCCCGGCACACAAGAGAGGCTCACGGACAGCAGCTTGGGAATCCCTTGGGATCAGCGTCACCGCCACAGCCCGGCGTGGGTGCCCGTCCCCCTGGACTGGTGTGCAGTGAGGGATAAGCTCTACAGCCGGGCACTCAGGACGGCTGCCGAGCTTCGCAGACGTGGCTGGTGCAGCCTGGGAGCTGGCTTTCACACCGCATTAAATCCTAATGAGCTTCCTCTTGCACAGCTCTTAAAAGCTCCTGGTGTGTTCAACTCCTATGCCCTGAGAGCCCTGTGACAGCACACTCCCTCGTCCTCTCCAGTCTCCTCCCTGGACCTCTGCCTTGGGCGCCCTGTATTCCATCCACAGGTGCCTCCCATGGCACGATGCTGTGTGTGTGTGTGTGTGTGTGTGTGTGTGTGTGTGTGTGGCAGGCTGGGGGAGGCTGGTTGGGACCAGCCCAGCTGTTACCCACACCTTCACTCTGACTTGCTGGGTTGGTGTCAAGAATGTCAACTGGGCTGGTGCTGTGGCATAGCAGGTAAAGCCGCCACCTGCAGTGCCAGCATCCCACACAGGTGCCGGTTTGAGACCCGGCTGCTCCACTTCTGATCCAGTTCTCTGCTATGGCCTGGGAAAGCAGTAGAAGATGGCCCAAGTGCTTGGGCCCCTGCACCCACGTGGGAGACCCAGAGGAGGCTTCCGGCTCCTGGCTTCAGATTGCCCAGCTCCAGCCACTGTGGCCAATTGGGGAGTGAACCAGCTGATGGAGGACCCCCCTGCCCCACCTCTCTCTGTGTGTAACTCTTTCAAATAAATAAATCTTAAATATATATATATATATACACACACACATATACAGGAGCTGGTGCTGTGGCGTAGTGGGTAAAGCTGCCGCCTGCAATGTCCGCATCCTATATGGGTGCCAGTTCAAGTCCTGGCTGTTCCACTTCCGGTCCAGCTCTCTGCTGTGGCCTGGGAAAGCAGAAGATAGCCCAAGCCCTTGGGTCCCTGCACCAATGTGGGAGACACGGAAGAAGCTCCTCGTTCCTGGCTTTGGATTGGCGCAGAGCCAGCCATTGTGGCCATCTGGGGAGTGAACCAGCAGATGGAAGGCGCTCTCTCACTCTCGCTCGCTCTCTCTCACTCTCGCTCTCTCTCTCTCTGCCTCTCCTCTCTCTGTGTATAACTCTGACTTTCAAATAAACAAATAAATCTTAAAATAAATACAGAACTCTAGCACCAGCTGGAAACTTGGAAACCATTTAGCCTAACAGCCCCATTGTATAAGAAAACTAGTCTCAAATAAAATAAATAAATAAAATAAATCTTTAAAAACTAGTCTCAAACATAAAGGGACTCAAAGCTAGACATCAAACTGATTTTTTCTCCTAAAAACTAAAATGCTGTCCCTGATCATTTCAACCGGCTCTCTAGCTAAAGTCTAGGCTTCTCTCGAATGCTCCACGCCACTGTTGCAGGAGAGCGATCACTCAGTACAGTCACAGCTGTGGAACCCGGGCCTGGAAGGGGCCTGAGCAGATCACTAAGCCAGCCCTCTGTGTGACACGGGGCCCACGCGTGCAGGACACGATGAGCACCCAGAAGGTGACAGCCTGACCCCCCCACCCCGCCCCCACCCTCATTTCTCGGTCCACCCAATCAGGTGCTCCTTTTAAATCTCTGTGTGTCAAGGTTTCAGTTATAGAAAAACCTCCTCGAGGGCAACGGAGGTGAGTGTGGAGAGAAACTGGGGCTCTGGGTCAGATCCCCATGTTTCGGGTAGCTCATTCCCAGTCTTAGTCCAGTGAAGCCACCGGCCTGAGCTGCCGGGCTGCCCCTCCCCTCCACGTCCCCAGAGCCTTCCGGAGCCCCAGGCCCGCGTGCAGGAAGTGAGCGACAGCACGCGTGAGAAGGAAACCGTGTTCAACACGGGCCACTCTCTCTTCTTGACCTTGGGGACCCGGCGCGCCACACAGCCCTTGTTGGTCCTCCACGCGAGGAGCTGCGACCCAGCAAAGAGCACCGGCAAACAGGCCTGCAAAGCTCAGCATGCCCAGCCTCCCAGTCTCTCTCCCCTCCCCACAGCTCCCTAAAACCCAGGGCAGACCCAGAGCGAGCACCCACGCCCCCACATCACCAGCAAGCTTCCCTAGCCCCTAGCTAAGGTCGCTCCACCCTCCCCTCGCCCCACTCCGCTCCATCGTCGGCCTAGTTTCTTCTCTTCATAGCACTTCATCGCTGCCCCCAACTTGCCTGTCACCTGTCTCCTGGCCCAAGGTCCACGGGAGCGGGGCCTCTGCAGTCTTACTCGGGGGGTCCCAGCTGCTCACTTCATTTTGACAGCAGTGGCCCACAGAGTCCCTGGAGCGGCTCCAGTCACGGTCCACTGACAGCCCTTCAAGGCAGAACCGCGGGACCAGACAGAGATGGGGCAGCCACCCCTGGAGGTGGAGGGGGTGAGCCAAGGCCACTGAGAGCACACATAGCAGTGCTGGCCTTTGTTCTCGGAGCACATGGGCCCTGCGTGCCAGGGCTGCTCCAGGCCCAGGCTGGGGGTCCTGCGCGCCCGCATCGCCTGAGTGACAGCCGGTGAACGCCAGCACGCGCACCCTGCCTGACTGACTGGTTAACAGAGACCCTGGGAGATGGCTACGCGGGCACTCATGCATTCCCCCAAACGCATGCCATAGATATTTTCTTAACCAAAACAGCCACAGCCGCTGCCCCTTTTTTTGGGGGGGATGTTAAAATCTAGTTGCCGAGACACAAATATGAATGAAATGCTCACACTTGATTTCAACTGTCATGCTGCAGCTGGGACAGGGCAACAGATTTGCCACGGTGCTCGGCGAGTCCACCACGGATCTGGGCAGCCAGTCAGGGAGGGCTTCCCTGCAGAAGTGGCATGGAGCCAAGACCTGAAGCTGGAGCAGGGCTGGGGGCGGGGGTGGGGGTCAGCACATTCCAGGCAGCAGTGGGGAGGAGTCGGGGAGCAGGAGGGGCTCACTCATGGGGCCACGGCGGCTCCCATAGCAACACACCGGAGCCTGGCACCCGGGCCAGACCACACGCCTTTAGGAGCCTGGGCATTAGCGGGGATGGCCAGACTGGAGTTTGCAAAGGTCTCCGTGGCTTTGGGGAGGAGGCCGACTGGCCTGGGAGGAGATGACCAGCCCCACCACCAGGGGGCACGGCGGAGCCTCTGCCTTCTTAGGGACGGCATTCGTTGTTTTTTTTTTTCCCCCAAAGAAGCCTTTTATTTCATGAGTACAAATTCCATATGTACTTTAGGAATACAGTGATTCTTCTCACCATCCCCGCCCTCCCACCCCACTCACACTGACCTCCTCCTCCCTCTCCCACTCCCAGGCCCATTCTCCATTAAGATTCGATTTCAATTAACTTTGTACACAGAAGACCAACTCTATACTAAGTAAAGATCTCAACAATCTGCACACACACACACACACACACAAACTGTTTGAGAACAAGTTCTACAGTTCACTCTCGTAATACAACTCATTAAGGACAGAGGTCCTGATAGGGAGTTAGTGCACAGTGACTCCTGTTGTTGATTTAATAATCAGCACTCCTAGGTATGACGTCAGTGATCACCCGAGGCTGCCTAGGCTCTGGGAGCCTTTTGCATCCACAATCTCTTTCAGTATTAAAGCCATGAGCAGAGTGGAAGTTCTCTCCTCCCTTCAGAGAAAGGTACCTCCTCCTTTAAGGGGCTGCATTCTAAAGCCCCACGACACGGGGCTGTGGCAGGCTCTGTCCCTGGAGCTGAGTCCAGAGAACTCAGGGCCGCCCCTAACACCAGGGAAGGCCCTGGCGTGCACCCGGCTCTCGGCAGCACCTGGGGCTCATGACTCCCGACTCGGGCCCTGGACCCCACCAGGTGCTGCCCAGACCTCAGCCTGCGCTGTACACGGCCAGCCGGCCTTACCTGGTCGTTCAGCGGGATCCCCCTTTCCATCTTCCTGCGATTTTCCTCCGGGTGGTAGTCATCCGCGTCATAGAATTTCCAGCCCAGCTTTAAGAACAAAAGGAAAAGAGGGTCTATGTGCTCAAAGCGGCAGGCGGTGCAGCTCGCCTGACAGCCACCAGGGGTCACTAGCGGGCAGGTGCAGAAACACTCCCACCACCTGTGGGGCGCCCTTTTCCATTCACTACTATTCGCAATCATCAAGGGGAAAACTGCGCCAGTGGGTTCCAGGCCACGCCGTGGGGTGGGGAGAGGGTCCATACAAAGCACGGCAGGCCTGCAGGAAGGGAGGGAGGGGAGCCAGGACGCAAGCACACAGTGGCACACGCAGCCCAGAGCCCCTGTGAACAGGCTACCTTGGATGCCAGCAGGGCGCCCACGGTCGACCTGTGGAGAAGAGAGATGTGTCAGTTACCACTGCTGCTTGCCCACGATGCACACGGCTTCCTCCCACGCCGGCATGCCCAGGGGACAGACGGCTGCCCCAGAGGCGCTGAAGCCCTCGACCCTGGGGGCCAGAGACTGGCTCCGTGTGTCCCCCTGCAATGCACTGAACACACAAGCAACACCTGTCCGGCTGTCTTTTTCAAAAGGCCACCTTTCAGATCTCACAAACACCCATTAGACTTCTCAGTAATCAGTTTTATGCTCCCTGCTGTGCAGAATTTTTAAAATTATCTTCAAGCTTATTTTTTGCATTAACATTGCTTTCAGGAACTTTTCTGTTGTGACACTAGTGTTCTCTTCAGCCATTTAGGTGATGGCAAATGTTAGTGCAATTAGAACCCTGCAGCGGGCAGGCGCCGTGGCTCACTTGGTTAATCCTCTGCCTGTGGCACCAGCATCCAATATGGGCACCGGGTTCTAGTACCGGTTGCTCCTCTTCCAGTGCAGCTCTCTTCTATGGCCTGGGAGTGCAGTGGAGGATGGCCCAAGTGCTTGGGCCCTGCACCTGCATGGGAGACCAGGAGGAAGCACCTGGCCCCTGGCTTCGGATCACCAGGGTGCCGGCCATGGCGGCCATTGGGGGAGTGAACCAACGAAGGAAGACCTTTCTCTCCGTCTCTCTCTAACTCTGCCTGGCAAAAAAAAAAAAAAAAAAAAAAAAAAATTCACTGCTGCTCCAGTCTAGGGTTGCTGTAACATTTGCCACATCTCCCTGACCTTTAACCCTCTGAGCCAGCAGGGCGCAGGTCAGCTTCTTTATCTACACTCACCCTGGGAATCTCAACCCCTTACTGTCCACACAGCCCGCACAGGGAGTAGAACTGGGAGCGGAGCTGGGACTCAAACTCAGGCCCTGTGATCCGGGATGTGGGCACCGGTGCCCGTCAGCACAAGCCCATCTATCTAAGAGCTTACCTTTCACCCCGCCCCCGCAGGTGAGCAGGTGCCACCTGCGTCTCTGTGACGTCAGCGCCCCCACCCCTCCTCCGCTTTAAAAACCAGAACCAAACCCAGCAACAAACAAACAAAAAAACCTCTGGACGCGCACGGCGAGCCTTTGGAGGTTATGATACCCTCCCTGAATGCTGCGGGACCTGTGTCTCTGGGTCCAACCGGGAGGCAGACGTCAACCTCCCGGGGCTGCAGGGGGGAGGGCGGACCCGGGCGCCCGCCTCTCCCCGCTTCCCGCACCCTCGGGAGCCTCCCTGCCCGCGAGCGCGGGCTCCTTCCGTGTAAGCTGGAAAACAGTCCCCCCGCTGGGCCGCGGTGCGCCCCGAGCCGGGGCCCCGCCGGCGGCACCGGGTCCCAGCGGGCCCCGCCACCCAGGCTCCGCCCGCCCCGGGGTCGCCCTCCCAGGCCCTGCAGGGCCCGGGCCAGGCCTGGCTGCGGCTTGCGCAGCAGCGAGCGGCAGGGCGCGGCCACCGCGCGCCCCCACCCCGGGCCTGGACTCACTTCCCGGAGCCGCTCACGCCCATCACCAGCAGCGCGCCGGGCGCCGCCATGGCCCAAGGCCGCTCCGTGCCGTCGGCTTCCGGGCCCGCCGGCGCCACCCCTGCACCTGCCCCGCCCCTGCGCGCTCCGCGCCTCCCGGGTCTTTGCAACGCGGCAATACCAATAATAAGTATTCACAGGTACGGAGTCCTGGGGCAGAACTGCGTGCGTCCAGATTCTATCTGCGTGGAAGCCGCCGCTACACCGCATCACTCTTATTTAATCACGGCTGCTTCTCTTTTATTCTCTTGAAGAAAAGTTCGGGGTGGGGGTGGGGGGAGGAGAGCCAGTGCTGTGGCGCAGCGGGTTAAAGCCCTGGCCTGCAGTGCCAGCATCCCCTATGGACGCCGGTTCGAAACCCGGCTGCTCCGCTTCCGATCCAGCTTTCTGGATGGCCTGGGAAAGCAGCAGAGGATGGCCCAAGGGCTTGGGCCCTGCACCCGCGTGGGAGACCCAGAAGAAGCTCCTGGCTCCAGATTGGCACAGCTCTGGCCGTTGCGGCCAACTGGGGAGTGAGTGACCCAGAAGCAGCCTCCAAGCTGGCTCAGGCCGGGGTGTGGCCCTCGGGCCTGGCCTGCTGTTGGCTGGGGAAACACAGCCCTCACTGTAGCTGTCATTTCCCGGGACTGCTGGAGGAGCATCACAGCATGGTAGCTGATGAAAGCCGTAACTATTTTTATAAAATTAAAATTTTATATACTTATATATAATTTACAAAATTATTAAAAATTTTATGTGTGCACATTTCCTGGATTTCATATATATAGTTATTTTTGTTTTTAAAGATTCATTTATTTGAAACATAGTTACAGAGAGAGAGAGAGGTAGAGACAGAGAGAGGTCTTCCATCTGCTGGTTCACTCCCCAGATGGCCACAATGGCCAGAGCTGCGCCGATCTGAAGCCAGGAGCCACAAGCCTCCTCCTGCTCTCCCATTCAGGTGCAGAGGCCCAAGGACTGGGGCCATCCTCTGCTGCTTTCCCAGGCCATCCAGAGAGCTGGAGCAGAAGTGGAGCAGCCAGGTCTCGAACCAGCACTGATGTGCGATGCTGGCATCCTGGCATCCCATGCCACATTGCTCAGCCCACAGTTTTAGGAACACAATGATACTTCCCACCCCATCCTTCCTCCCTCCCTCACCTCCACCCTGCCTCTTCCTGCCTTTCTTACGTATCTTTAATTTTTGCAGTGACATACTTCCAGTTTCCTTTATAATCATAAGCTTAACCCTCCACTAAATAAAGAATTCAACAAGTAGTAAGTGGGAAAACCACTCTTCCTCAGGAGTGTAGACAAGGGCTATAAACAAGAATCAAATCTCAAGATGTCAGTTTCACTCAAATATATTACATTTTTTGTACTCTGTATATTAGTTACCACGAATCAGGGAAAACATATGATATTTATCTTTTAGGGACTGCTTCTTTCAATTTGCATAATGGCCTCCAATTACATCCATTTTATTGCAAAAGAAAGGATTCCATTCTTTTTATGGCTGAGTAGTATTCCACCGTGTGTAGATACTATAACTGCTTTATGCAGTGAACAGTTGATGGACATCTGGTTGATTCCATATCTTAGCTGCTGTGAATTGAGCTGCTATAAATGTGGGGGTACAGATAACTCTTTCATAGGCTGATTTCATTTCATTTGAGCAGATTCCCAGGAGTGGGATGGCTGGGCCATATGGTAGATCTGTTTCCAGCTTTCTGAGGAATCTTAGTGTCTCCCACAGTGGCTGCACCAGTTTACAATCCCAGGAAGAGTGGATTAGGGTACCTTTTCCCCCACAGTCTCACCATCATTGGTTAGTGTTTGATTTTTGGATGACAGCCATTCAAACTGGGGTGAGGTAGAACCTCACGGAGGCTTTTATTTGCATCTCCCTGAAGTCATAACCTTCCTTTTTTTTTTTTTTTTTTTTTTTTTTTTTTTTAGATCTATTTGAAAGATAGAGTTAGAGAGAGAGAGAGAGAGAGAGGTCTTCCACCCACTGGTTCACTCCTCAAATGGCTGCAGTGGCCAGAGCTGAGCCGATCCGAAGCCAGGAGCCACGAGCCTCCTCCTGGTCTCCCATTCGGGTGCAGAGGCCCAAGGACTTGGACCATCTTCCACTGCTTTCCCAGGCCATAGCAGAGAGCTAGATTGGAAGTGGAGCAGCCAGGCAGGCTCCGCGGCTCACTAGGCTAATCCTCCGCCTTGCGACGCTGGCACACTGGGTTCTAGTCCCGGTCGGGGCGCCGGATTCTGTCCCGGTTGCTCCTCTTCCAGGCCAGCTCTCTGCTATGGCCCGGGAGTGCAGTGGAGGATGGCCCAAGTGCTTGGGCCCTGCACCCCATGGGAGACCAGGAGAAGCACCTGGCTCCTGCCATCGGATCAGCGCGGTGCGCCAGCCGCAGCACACCGGCTGCAGCGGCCATTGGAGGGTGAACCAACGGCAAAGGAAGACCTTTCTCTCTGTCTCTCTCTCTCACTGTCCACTCTGCCTGTCAAAAAAAAAAAAAAAAAAAAAAAAAAGGAAGTGGATCAGCCAGAACTCAAACTGGTGCCAGCATATGGGATGCTGGCGCCACAGACCAAGGAATTAACCCTCTGCACCACAGCGCCGGCCCCATCATAACCTTGGAAGGGATATGCCTTTACTTCTGGCACCTATGGAAGGGGCTGTGGGAAGTTGTAAATATTAGGTTCTGGAAACTGCTGGAGGCCCTCTCGGAGGCTGGCACTTAGAGACACAATCTACAATGGAGCAACTTATCTTTTTTTTTTTTTTTTTTTTTTTTGACAGACAGTGAGAGAGAGAGAGAGAGAGAGAGAGACAGAAAGGTCTTCCTTTCCGTTGGTTCACCCCCCAATGGCTGCTACAGCCGGCGCGCTGCGCTGATCTGGAGCCAGGAGCCAGGTGCTTCCTCCTGGTCTCCCATGTGGGTGCAGGGCCCAAGCACCTGGGCCATCCTCCACTGCACTCCCTGGCTCAGCAGAGAGCTGGACTGGAAGAGGGGCAACCGGGACAGAACCAGCGCCCCAACCAGGACTAGAACCTGGGGTGCCGGCGCCACAGGTGAAGGATTAGCCCAGTGAGCCGCGACGCCGGCTAACTTCTCTTTTCTTAAAAAAATTAATTCTGGCGAAAAATAATTTAACAAAATTTATCATCGTAACCAATAAAAAAATCTGTATTTATTTATTTGAGAAGCAGAGAGACAGAGAGAAACAAAGAGAAAGACCTCCTACCCACTGGTTTACTCCCCAAATGACCACAATGGTCAGGGAGGCCTAATGCAAGTGCTGGAAATGGAAGCCACGCCTCCCATAAGGTTCACATTCAAAGCACCTAGCACTCTGCAGAATTGGTATGTTAATATCCGAGAGCCAACACAGTGCCTTTCACAGAAACTGCTCAATGACCATTTGCATATATGAACTTATTGATGAAATAAGCTCAGATACAGAATCCGTTCTCTTGCCTTCAGTTATTAATCTATTAAACCAAGATGTGTGTGTAGAGGCAGGAGTCTCAGTGAAGTGAGTGAATCCGGAGGGCCCTGGCCTGAACCTGTGTGGCAGTTGAGTGACAGGGAGACCTGGCCCTAGTCTTGGCTGTTGGCCTGACCCCTGAAATCCGTCCACCGGGGAATGGAGGCAGGGAGAGGGGCGGTGTACAGTGGGTCAGATGCGGGCACGGCATTTAATCAGTGGCTTTGTGTGACTGGGAATTGCTACAGGCAGAAACAGGTGCAGGATGGTTGAAGAGCTAGTTAGCACCTATCTCACTCCCCAAATCCAAGATCCTTACTGCGGCAGCCCTAGCATCGCAAGTTCCAACATGAACGATGCTATGACCTTGGCGTTAATACTGCCTATTTGCAGGTGGGAGACAGTCTTCGTGAAAGTGGGAGATTATATTAAGATTTTACACTGAACGCGAGGAGCCGAAGGGATGGAGGCAGTGAGTGGACTGAGGGAGTGCAGAGAGGCATGCTCCCGTAGTGCGCGGTTTCATTTCGCACGGGTGCTGCAGTGGCCCCCAGGGCTGGGTCCCCAGGGGGTTATGTGAATGGGTTAAGGATGGGCTTTAATCCAGTGCTGGGGTCTGGTGGGGGTTGGGGGAGAGGGCCTGGCAGGGCTGGATGAAGCTGCTGGAGAGAGGCCTGCAGGTAGGCCTGTGGTGGTCTGTAAGGACGCAGTGTGCTCCCTGCGTCTCTCGGCTTCCTGGCTGTGCACTGGCTCCAGCGCCCTGTGCCCGCGTCAGACACCAGACTAGCTAACGGGGCTGTGAGTATCCGAAGCCAAGAGCCGAAGTAGCTTCTCCCGGGCATTTTAATCTCCTTAGATGGGTGACAAGGATCCAACCATTGGCGCCATCACCTGCTGCCCATCAGGGGGCGCTTTGGCAGGAAGTGGGACTGAATAGAGACGGGACTTGAACTCAAGTGCTAGGATATGGGATGTGAGTATCCCAAGCAGCCTCTTAAGTACCAGGCCAAACATCTGCCCCGAGGGATGATATTTTAGAAGACTTTTTAGAGAATTATCTATTCTTTTTCTTCTCTCTCTTTTTCTTTACAAGATTGATTTATTTATTTGAAAGTGAGAGTTTCACAGAGAAGGAGAGGTGGCGGGGCGGGGGTGGTGGTGGTGGTGGTGGTCTTCCATCCACTGGTTTACTCCCCAATTGGCCGCAATGGCCGGAGCTGTTCCAGGAGATAGGAGCTTCCTCCGACTCTCCCGCATGGGTGCAGAGGCCCAAGGACTTGGGCCATCTTTTACTGCTTTCCCAGGCCATAGCAGAGAGCTGGATTGGAAGTGGAGCAGCCAGGACTCGAACCGGCACCCATATGGGATGCCAGCCCTGCAGGCGGTGGCTTTACCCGCTATGCCATAGCACCAGCCCCAAGGGCTGATATTTTAGAAGACTTTTTAGAGAACTATCTATATTAATTTTCAATACAATATCAAGATTTGATAAATGGTAGTTTACTAAAGCCTGAATTTTGCAGTGTAGAATCTGAAATCACATGCATGGGTTTTGTTCTCTGTCACATTAAAACCTATTGCCTATTCTATATTTTAAAAGGACTCTTTACTTGCGCAATGCTCTTGCAATAACATGCATCAGACATTATGAAAATACTGCTTTAGTGATGCAAATCACTAGATGTTGATATAATACTCAGACTAAGACGAAAGAAGACGGAGGCCTCACTCAGTACTTCACAACTCTCAAAACGGCGGTTCTCAAAGGGAGGGCCAGCCTGTTCCTGATACAACACTGAAATATCTTAGACTGGGTACTTTCATAAACAACAGAAATGTATTGTTTTCAGCTTAGAAGTTTAAGGCCAAGGTGCCCACAGATTCAGCATCTGCTGGGGGCTTCTCTCCGCTTCCAGATGATGGCTTACTGTTGCCTCCTCACACGGAGGAAGCTGGAAGGGAATGGGAAAACACTCCCACAAGCCCTTTCATAAGAATGCGACTCCATCCTTGACAGCACAGCCCTCAGGAACTGATCACCCCCCAACCCCCCGCCTCTTAATACCTTGGAGTTTAAGAACCAACATACAAACTCTGGATGGACTCACAGCATTCTGCTCCTGGCCCCCCGAGTTTCATGTCCTTCTCATGGACAAAGTGGACTAAGTTCATCATGACAGCTTCTGAATTCTTAACTCATCCCAGTGCCAACTCAAAGTCCCAAAGTCCAGAAGATTGTCTAAATGTCAGCTAAATCAGATATAGGTTAGGTTTAAGGTAAGGCTCAAGACACATTTCTCTCCCACTGGGAACCTGTGCAATCAGATAAGTTGTATGTTGTCAAAACAGTAGGGCAGGAATAGAATAGACATTCCTATTCCAAAAGAGAGAAACAGGAAAGAGAAGGGGAGTGGGTCCCAAGAAAATCCAAAACCTGAAAGGCAACCAGGATTAAACCTCGAGGTATAAGCATAATCTTCTTGGGAGCAGGGGTTGGGCCTAGAAGTTAAGACAGTTGCATTCCACATTGCAGTACCAGGGTTTGATACCCGGCCCCTGGTTCTGACCCTAGCTTCTGCCAATGCAGACCCTGGGAGGTGGCGTGTGGTTACTGCATTGTTGCCACCTGCGTGGGGGACCTGGATGGCATTCTCAGCTCCCAACTCCAGCCTGCTGTTGTGGGCATTTGGGGAATAAACCAACAGGTGACAGCTTTGCCTGCCTTTCAAATAAATAGATTTAAAAAAATATTTATTTATTTATTTATTTGGGGGGCTGGGGGTAGAGGGAGATCTTCCACCCACAGGTTCACTCCCTAAATGGTTACAGAGGCTAAGGCTGGGCCAATCCAAAGCCAGGAGCCTGGAACTTCGTTCAGGTCTCCCACGTGGGTGGCGTGGCCCCAAGCACTTCAACCGTTTTCTTTTGCTTTCCCAGGTGCATTAGCACAGAGCTGGATTGGAAGTAGAGCATCTGGGGCTCGAACTGGTGCCCCTATGGGGTGCTGGCATTGAAGGCAGCAGCTTAACCTGCTGTGTCACAGCATGGACTGCAATAGATAGCATTTTAAAAAGATCTGACTCCATGTCCCACTTTCTGGACACACTGCTGGGTGGAGGAGAGGGCCTGAGTCCCCAAATCTCCCGGCCCTTGGCGTGTGATGGGAGTGACAGCCCCAACAATTTGTGAAACACCTTCAGTGGTATTCTTCACCTGTCTTGCTTCCCTCTGTCCACAACAGTCTCCTTATCATACCGTGTTTGGTCACACTCTTGGTGGTTTTTTTTTTTTTTAAACACAATTTATTTCCAGGTCTTGAAGTTCTGCTTCCTTTTAATGATACATCTCATCTTCAATTTGTTTCTCTCTGCAGAGTTTACATCGAGCTATCAAGAGCAGCCATGCTTAAATTTGCCTTCCACAAAGCACTAAGACACATCAGCCAAGTGCTTTGCTGCATTGTAGCAAGGATAGCCTTTGTTCCAGTTTCTGATGGTCAGTCCAAGGCCTCAATAGAATGGCCCTTCCCTCCCCATTTCTACCCACATTCTGATCGCACCACCCACGTAATCTCTAAGACGCATGCATTCTTCGGAGCCCTCACCAGGATCGCCCTCAGTGTTCCGTGGCCATGTACACTTCTCCTAGCACTTCTAAACTCTTCTAGCCTCTTCCTATCGCCCAGTTTCAAAGCAGCGCCGGTCTTAGGGTTCTGTGGAGAAACAGAACCAGTTGGGTACATGGATATCCAAGTGGACCTGTGAGGCGGATGTTGAAACAGAACCAGTCGGGTACGTAGATATCCAAGTGGACCTGTGAGGGCGGATGTTGAAACAGAACCAGTTGGGTACGTAGCTATCCAAGTGGACCTGTGAGGCGGATGTTGAAACAGAACCAGTCGGGTACATGGATATCCAAGTGGACCTGTGAGGCCGATGTTGGGGTAATTGGCTCATGTGATGGTGGAGGCTCAGAAGTCCCACAGTGTGCTGTTTGCGAGCTGGAGAACTGGGGAAGCTGGTGAAATGGCTCAGTCCCTGTCCGAGGGCTGAGAACCAGGGGTGCCAACAATGCCTCTCTCAGTTTGAGGTGGAAAGTCTACAAGCCCCCAGGGCTTCCGGTACAAGCCTTGGAGTTTGCAGGCCAGAAAACTCGGACTTCTGATAGCCAAGAGCGGAAGTCGCGTATCCCGGATTCAGAAGAGAGTGAGAGCAACACTGTCATCTACTGTTTTTTTTGTTCTGGGTGGGCGCCCAGTTGATTGAATGGTGCCCAGTCAGGTTGGACGAGGGCAGCTATTCCTGTAGGCTGTCCACTGATTCAAATGCCAATCCCTCCCCAAGCCCCTTCACAAACAAACCCAGAGATTACGCGTCATCGGCTACTCAGGAATCCCTCATCCAGTCAAGTCCATGCACAAAATGAGCATCCAGCGAAGGTGGAAGGGGTGAGGAGAGCAAGGGGCAGAGGGCGCCCACTGGCGGATCCCCTTGGAAGGGCTGGTGCTGCTGACTTGAGGCCCACACCCGAGGGCCTGATTTCCTGCATGAGCTGGCTTGCGAATGTTGCAGGCAGAACGTGATTCTTATTACCACCTTGACTCCTCAAGTCCATCCTACTGCTTGTTTCTGTGCCATTGCATGAAATTCTGGCCGCATCTCACAGCATTCCCACTCACAAGGACCTCACCTCCACAGCTAAGCCCCAGCTTGTTTATTTATTTGAAAGGCAGAGTTGCAGAGAGAGAGAGAGAGAGAGAGAGAGAGAGCGAGCGAGCGCTCCATCCTCTGGTTCACTCCCCAGACGAAAATCTCTTAGTTAATTAAAACTGCATTTGTCATCAAGTTAAAAATAAAGACAAGCCTTTAAAAATTAACTATAAAAAGGCGAATGCTTTCATACTTGTGGGGAGCAACTCGGACTAGACTGTTACTGGAATTAAGACTTATTCTATGCATCTGCTCTCCCACAATATGGCGCTGGGAGAGGAGGAAACAGCTTCTACACAGCTGCCTCCAGTTCAACCAATAAACAGCAGGACCTGCTCCTGATTGGAGGAGAGCAGCGTACTTGGCGTGTGGGTAGCAGAGTTGGGATTGGCGGAAGAGGACTATAAAGGAGGAGAGTGACAACATGCACCAGGAACATCTATCTGAAGGAACACCTGGGCAGCCCCCGAGAGAGCCGGCCGGCGGTGTGCCGCTCCCCCGCGGAAGTGGGGAAAGTGGCAGGGGGAACTGCCCTTCCACGGAGGTGGAAGGGTCGGTAGCCAACCCGGGAAGAACCAGCAGTAAACCCGGGGAGGGCCGAGCAGACGAAAGAACAACGCAGGGTTTAGGGTGTTCCTCCGCGAAGAGGGGGAGCGACATAATGGTGCCGTGACTCAGATAGGAAACCTAGGCAGGGTTTAGTGTCGTTCCTCCACGAAGAGGGGGAGCGACAATACTGGAGGGAGGGATGATACTGTCTGAAGTCTTTTGTTTTTTAAGATTCATTTATTTATTCGAAAGTCAGAGTTACACACAGAGAGAGGAGAGGCAGAGGTAAAGAGAGAGAGATGTCTTCCATCTTCTGGTTCACTCCCCAGTTGGCAGCAATGGCCGGAACTGTGCCTATCCGAAGCCAGGAGCCAGGAGCTTCTTCCAGGTCTCCCATGGGGTGCGGGGTGGGCCATCCTCCACTGCTTTCCCAGGCCACAGCAGAGAGCTGGATCAGAAGTAAAGCAGCCGGGACTTGAACCTTCGCCCTCATGGAGGATGTCAGCACTGCAGGCAGCGGCTTTACCTGCTACACCACAGCACGGGCCCCCGAAGCCTTTCATGGAATATCTATATCCGTCTGGATGACAAGCTTGAACGACAGGTGTGGTCCGTCACCCTTTGTTCTCTTTACTACCCTGGAGAACACACGTCGGCAGTGGGGAGTCACTGGTGCCTGTTTTCTGGGCTCCATCAGGTGGGAAACCAAACAGCCTGTCACACAGAGGTTGTGCTAGAGGCTTCCTGTTCTAGTCTGGCTCCATTTAGCCCTGAAAATCATAGTGATCTGTTGCATATGGTGTAAAAATATGCCCAGCAACATCCCCCTGGTTTTATTCGTGAACAAATGAAGAAAACCATAGGTGGTTGGGGAAAAGCCATCTCCTTAATCAATCAGATCTCTTCTCTTCATATAATGACTTGGGAACTTTCAGCCCCAAAGGAATACATTAGACAATTTATTTGAGAATCATTAAACCAGCTCAGTTTGACATATTCAAAACCATCTTTACTCTACATTTTCGGTATCCGAGGGAGATACTGTTTAGGAAGAGAAATATCAGTTTTTATACTTGAAATAAGAGTATAATGAAACAAACTCTCATTTTTTTTAAATGGCCATATGGCTGTAACAGCTGGAGCTGGGCCGATCTGAAACCAGGAGCTAGGAGCTTCTCCTGGGTCTCCCACAAAGGTGCAGGGGCCAAAGGACTTGGGCCATCTTCCACTGCTTTCCTAGGCCATAAGCAGAGAGCTGGTTTGGAAGAGGAGCAGCCAGGACACCAATTGGCATCCATATGGGATGATGGCACCACAGGCAGAGGTTTAGCCTACTATTCCACTGTGCCAGCCCCCAAAATCTCATTTTTGATGTTTGTTTCAATAAGTGCCTCATTTTCAGTATAAAATAATATGAAAGGGGTTAGCGCTGTGGTGCAGCAGGTTAATGCCCCAACCTGCAATGTCGGCATCCCATATGGGCACTGGTTCTAGTCCCAGCTGCTCCACTTCCGATCCAGCTCTCTGCTATGGCCTGGGAAAGCAGTAGAAGATGGCCCACGTGCTTGGGCCCCTGTGCCCGCTTGGGAGACCCAGAAGAAGCTTTTGGCTCCTGGCTTCAGATTGGCCCAGTCTCGGCCTTTGCGGCCATTTGGGGAGTGAATCAGCAGATGGAAGACCTCTCTGTCTCTCCCCCTCTCTGTAGTTCTGCCTCTCCAGTGAATAAATAAAATCTTTAAATAAATCCCAATTGAGAAGATACTCAGTTTTTATGGGTATTCCTATCCTAGCTACCCTACTAGAGTACTATCTTCCATTATCAGTAATATATTAGTGAGGTAAAAATACTCAAGATGAATTAAACGACAAAATCTTTGCAGTACTGGTGCAACTTTTAAAAATATTAGGCCTATTAAGAACATAACAGGTTGTCAATGAGAAATCAATGGAATTCAATATTCCATCTCAAATTTTTGAAATCTCTGTAAACGACTTGATGACATGTCCTTGGAAATAGACAAACTGTCAAACAATTGCTCGATAAACTTTCAGAGAGCACCTACAGATGTGGACAACGTAGGTAGGTGATCAACAGCATGTCAATGGGATGGAACCTATCCTAGCCATGGGCACAAACTCTTGAAGGCCACGATGGCAGGCTTCCTATCTAACATAGCAACTTCAACACTTCCAGTAGACCCTGGTCTGTTTGCTTTCCTCTAGGCAGCACTGGCTGTCTTGAACAAGAAGTATATCTTTTTTAAAAAATATTTGTTTATTTGAGGCTGGCACTACAGCTCAATAGGTTAATCCTCCGCCTTGCGGTGCCGGCACACCGGGTTCTAGTCCTGGTCAGGGTGCTGGATTCTGTCCCGGTTGCCCTTCTTCCAGGCCAGCTCTCTGCTGTGGCCCGGGAGTGCAGTGGAGGATGGCCCAAGTGCTTGGGCCCTGCACCCCATGGGAGACCAGGATAAGTACCTGGCTCCTGCCATCGGATCAGCGCAGTGCGCTGACCGCAGCGCACCGGCCGCGGTGGCCATTGGAGGGTGAACCAACGGCAAAGGAAGACCTTTCTCTCTGTCTCTCTCTCTCTCACTGTCCACTCTGCCTCTCAAAAAAAAATTTATTTATTTGAAAGAGTTACACAGAGAGAGAATGAGAGGCAGAGAGAGACAAAGATCTTCCATCCACTGATTCACTCCCCTAATGGCTGCAACCATCAGGGCTGGGCCAAGCTGAAGCCAGAAGCTTCATCCGGGTCTCCCACGTAGGTGCAGGGTCCCAAGCACTTGGAGCATCATCTGCTGCTTTCCCGGGCACAGTAGCAGGGAGCTGGGTGGGAAATGGAGCAGCTGGGTCTGGAACCAGTGCCCCTATGGGATACCAGCGTCACAGGTGGCAGCTTTAACCTGCTACCCCACAATCTGGCCCCGAACTTACTGTGTGTTAACTTGATACAAAAGTTTGAAAAAAAAAAAAAAAGCCACAGGAAGGGAATCTCCCACCAGGGCAGACTCCTGATTGAGAGGGAAAGGAGGAGAAATGAATTGCGGCTGAACGAAGGGTGAATCACCCGGCGGCTGCTCAGCCTGCGGGGAGCTGGAGCAGCGCTGCCTCACTAACCCACATGCCTCTGTGTGCGCTGTAGCCGGCTTCAGTGCGACCCTGCGCGGAGGAGCCTGGATCCCAAACAGGAAGCACTCCGTTTGAAGTGACTGCTCCTCACCGTGTGTGTGGGAGTACCACTGTCAGAAGCAGACAGGAACAAGGGGGTAAGTGTTAAGGGAGAAGAGGAAAGAAAAATCCCATCTCATACAAATGATTCTAATTATGCATTGGAGGCGATACTTTTTTTTTTTTCCCCTTGTCATTCTGCTTAGGAAAAAGGAAACGGAAGAAGAGCTCACATCCAAGTGAAAAGATTCTTTGCTGCAGTCCTGACTACTTACTGGCCTCCATGCTGGGTGACTGAATGTCTTTTACCCTCACTGGTAAGTGGTAATATACTCCCTACCCCTTCAGGATGGCAGGGCTGGAGATGGGACAGACTCCAGGGACACCAGCACTTGAGATCAGGATGAGCACTGGGAGAAACCATGAAAAGATAAGCTTGTCCTTCTTGCCTTCTATTTAAGCCAAGTGGTAAAACACGTATGAAGTTTGGCATCTTAGACATCGAAAGTGTACAGTTTGGTAGCATTCACACTCTCCGAGACTTTTCTCATCAGCCAAACTGAAACTCTGTGCCCATGAGATAGTAGCTTGGTACCTCTCCTTCCTCCCAGCCCCTGGTAACTAGTCTACCTTCGCCCATCCAGGTACTAACTGGGCCAGACCCTGCTTAGCTTCTCAGGTCTCTTCCTCCCCCACGGCAGGTGGGTTCCAGGACCCTCCCCAGGATACCAACATCTGTGGATGCTTCACACCCTTATATAAATTGGCCGGCACCGCGGCTCACTAGGCTAGTCCTCTGTCTGCGGTGCTGGCACACTGGGTTCTAGTCCCGGTCGGGGTGTCGGATTCTGTCTTGGTTGCACTGGACGTCCTCTCTAGAGTGAATGCTGTGTAAGCAGTTGCTATACTGTACTGTGTAGGGCCTAACGACAAAACAAAATCTGCAGTTGTTGAGTGCTGGTGCAATTTTTTTTTCTTTCCCCGAACATTTTCAATCTGTGGTTGGCTGAATCTGAGGGTGTGGAGCCTTGGGAAGGGCTTACTGTATACACCACACTGGGTCATCCGTTCATCAGTTGTTATCTTCTTCTTTTTTTTTTTAATATTTATTTGAAAAGCAGACTTACAGAGAAGCAGAAGCAGAGAGAGAGAGAGACAGAGAGAGAGAGAGAGAGAGAGAGAGAAAGGTCTTCCATCCACTGGTTCACTCCCAGATGCCTCAATGTCTGGGCTGGACCACTCTGAAGCCAGGAGCTTCTTCCAGATCTCCCAGCTGGGTGCAAGGGCCCAAGCACTTGGGCCATCTAGCAGGAAGTGGGGTCAGAAGTGGAGCAGCCGGGCCTTGAATTGGCGCCCATGTGGGATGCTGGCATTGCAGGCAGCAGCTTAACCCGCTGCGCCACAGTGCCGACCCCTTGTGTCAAATTTCTGTATCTTTTGGGATCACGTTTGTCTGCAATATCAGAAAAAATACAAAATAATAGTAGCCTAAGTTGGAAGTTTCTTTCCCACATAAATGAGATTCGGAAGCAGGCGGTTTAGAGCTGACCAATAATTTCACAAAATTGTTGGAGACTCAGGTTTCTTTCTTTCTGTCTGGCTCTGGACATAGCACAGGCTTCCAGGCTCAAGGTCACCTCATGGCCCAATTGATCTGCTCAGAGCTCCCACCACGGTGTCTGCATTCCAGGCATCAGGGAGGAGCAAGAGAGGAGGGCATGCATTCGCTTCTGTCTACACTTCACTGCTCAGAGTTTATCTGCACAGCTGCCTCCACCTCAGAGGTCTTGGGAAATATGGTCTTTATTTAAAAAATTCTTTTATATTTAAGCTTTATTTACTTGAAAGGCAGAGTATCACACACACACACATACACACACACACACACACACACAGAGAGGGAGGGAGAGAGAGCGAGCGAGAGAGCGCTTTAATCTGCTGGTTGCTGGTTCTCTCCGCAAATGTTTGCAACAACCAGGGCCGGGCCAGGCTGCAGCCAGGAGCCAGGAACTGCATCCGGGTCTCTCACGTGGGTGTCAGGAAATCAAGCCATCATTGGTGCTTTCTGGGTGCAGGGGCCCAAGCACTTGGGCCATCTAGCAGAAAGTGGAGTTAGCAGAGACTGGATCGGAAACAAAGAAGCCTGGACTTCCCGCCTGCACTGCAATGTGGGGTACACGTGCCCTCGATGGAGCTTTAACCCACTGCACCACAAGGCCCACCCGGCAATCCTCATTTATGGGGCCGTTGTGCCCAGATACAGGCTGGGATTCTGGGCGCACAGAAGAGGCGAGGACTGTCCAGGCGTTCCCGCGTCACATTTAGAGCCTATTTAGCGTTTCTCCCAAGACTGCCTCCTCTCTGACTGGACTCTCTGGGTCATGGGCCTTAGGCCCTGCTGCGTGACAGGAGCTGCCTCGCTGCTCCTGGCTGCACCGGGCTCCACCTAGCACGGACTGGGACTGCGGGAGAACACGGTTCCAGACTCGCGCACAGTCCCTCACCCCCGTGCCGGTGCCCATGCTGGGGCTGGGGAGCAGGCCGCCTGCCAGCCCCTGCAAGGTTTGCAAACGGAGGAGGACCTGAATATTGCCGGGACCCTCGGGAGGCTCCCAAAGTGAAAAGCAAATCTTCCCAGGGTTCGTTTCTGGTTCAAGAAACCTCAGACAGGGGCGGGCGCTGTGATGCAGTGGATTAACGCCCTGGCCTGGAGCGCCAGCATCCCATATGGGCACCAGTTCGAGACCCGGCTGCTCCACTTCCGATCCAGCTCTCTGCTGTGGCCTGGGATAGCAGTGGAAGATGGCCCAAGTCCTTGGGCCCCTGCACCCATGTGGGAGACCTGGAAGAAGCTCCTGGCTCCTGGCTTCAGATCAGCACAGCTCTGGCCATTGCAGCCATCTGGGGAGTGAACCAGTAGATGGAAGATCTCCCCCCCCCCCTTCTTTCTGCCTCTCCTCTCTCTGTGTAACTTTGGGTTTCAAATAAGTAAATAATTAAACAAGTAAATAAATAAATAAAATCTTTAAAAAAAAGGGTGGTTTCTCCCAGGCAGCCTCTGTCCCTGAGCGTCTTTACTATGAGTCATTCTTCATTAAAACAATAATGGAAGCTTGGAGATGATGGTAAGCACTAACACCACGTACCAGACCCCTTACTTATACCATTATCGTCTCGTTCCACAGGTCAGACAACTGTTGCACAGAGACACTAAGCAACTTCCTGAGGTCACACAGCATATAAGTGGTCTACCCAGGCATTCTGGCTCCCGAACCCGTGCCTGTACCCTGCGAGCACCAGTGGCCCTCCCTCAGAGCGCTTCCTGAAGGAGGTAAGGTGCAGGACAGTTTACAGGCAGAGTGACATTTGCTTAAACGTTCCCCAGACGCTGCTCTCAGGAAACACAGCTTTCTGGATTGGCCATTTCTCTGGGCAGTGACGAGGCAGGTTAAGATGCCCACATCCCCTACCAGATTCGAGGTTGGATTCCCAGCCCCGGCTCCAGACTCCAGCTTCCTGCTACTGCGCAGCTGCAGGCTCAAGTGGTTGGTGTCCTGTCACCCACATGGCTGAGTTCTCAACTCCAGGCTCTGGCTGGGCCCTGCTCTGGCTTTGTGAGCATTTGAGGAATAGGAGGTCTTCTCTCTCCGCTTCTCAAATAGATAAATAATTTAAAAGATGAAGAAACAAGGGCCGGCGCCGCGGCTCACTAGGCTAATCCTCCACCTGCAGCACCGGCACACCGGGTTCTAGTCTTGGTCGGGGCGCTGGATTCTGTCTCGGTTTCCCCTCTTCCAGGCCAGCTCTCTGCTGTGGCCAGGAGGTGCAGTGGAGGATGGCCCAAGTGCTTGGGCCCTGCACCCCATGGGAGACCAGGATAAGTACCTGGCTCCTGCCATCGGATCAGCGCGATGCGCCAGCCGCAGCGTGCCGGCTGCGGCGGCCATTGGAGGGTGAACCAATGGCAAAGGAAGACCTTTCTCTCTGTCTCTCTGTCTCTCTCACTGTCCACTCTGCCTGTCAAAAAAAAAAAAAAAATGATGAAGAAATACACCCACCTGCAGTGCCAGCATCCCAGATGGGCGCTGGTTCTGCTCTACTTCCTATCTGCTCCCTGCTAACGTGCCTGGGAAAGCAGTAGGAGATGGCCCAAGTGTTTGGCCCCTGCTACGTACGTGGGAGACCTGGGTGGAGCTCCTGGCTCCTGGCTTCATCTGGCCCAGCACTGGCTGTTGCAGCCATTTTGGAAGTGAACCAGCAGACATAAGATCTCCCTCTCTCTGCCTCTGCCGCTACCTCTCTGGAAAACTCCACCTTTCAAATAAATAAATAAATATTAAAAATGAAAAACAAAGAAACGCACCCTCTTGCCTTCTCCCAGTCTCACTCTGTCACTGCCTTTGGGTTTGGAGCTAGGAGGGCCAGCTCCTTTCTCACTTCTCTCACCATGCAGCCACCTCCTTCCCCGGGGCACCCTCCTCCGGCCTCTCAGCTGCATCCGGCTGCCCTGCCGTGCTGGCTGCCAGCGCAGCCAGGCTGTGGGCCGCGGACCAGGAACCTGCTGGCCAAAGTTCAGGCGCAGTCGAGGCCTGAGGCTGCAACGGTGCGCCTTCTCAGTGAGGAAAGCCCCTCTGGAGTCATTACCAGGTCCAACGGGGACTTTCAGCTTGAACTTCTCTATCTTTTTCTCTGATTTTAGAAGAGTCTGAGGGCCAGTGCTGTGGCATAGCAGGTTACACCGCTGCCTGCAGTGCTGGCATCCCATACGGGCATCGATTCATGTCCTGGCTGCTCCTCTCCTGATCCAGCTCTCTGCTATGGCCTGGGAAGGCAGTAGACGATGGCCCAAGCACTTGGACCCTGCACCCATGTGGGACACCTGGAAGAAGCTCTTGGCTCCTGGCTTTGGATTGGCCCAGCTTTGGCCATTACAGCCATCTGGGGAGTGAACCAGCGGGTGGAAGACCTCTCTCTGTTTCTCTCCCCTCACCCCATCTGTAACTCTGTCTCTCAAATAAATAAATAAAGTATTTTAAAATATTTCTTAAAAGTGTAAATTCCTTTTTGGGGAAAAATGCAATAGAAATGTGCCTAGTATTGTGGGGAAATTGAAAAAGAAAAAGAAAAATTACTTTTGCTGCTCTTGCTAGAAAGCGCTCTACTTCGCCATCTGGTGGTCAGAATGGGACATGGCGGGTTCTTTTTTCTTTTTTAAAATTTATTTGAAAGGCAGAGTTACAGAGGCAGAGAGAGAGCGAAACAGAGAGAGAAAGAGAGAGAGAGAGAGACAGACAGACAGACAGAGAGGTCTTCCATTCGCTGATTCACTCCCCAAATGGCTGAAATGGCTGGAGCTAGATCAGTCTGGAGCCAGCAGCCAGGAGCTTCTGGGTCTCTCTTTCGGGTGCAGGGGCCCAAGCACTTGGGCCAGCTTCTTCTGCTTTCCCAGGCCATAGCAGAGAGCTGGGTCAAAAATGGAGCAGCTGGGACTCAAACCAGTGCCCATAAGGGATGCCAGTGCCACAAGGGGAGGCTTAACCTGTTATGCCACAGAGATTTATTAAATTATTAGCATTGACTTTTTTTTTTCTTTTTTAAAATTAATTTATTTGAAAGGCAGAATTACAGAGAGGCAAAGGTATAGAGAGAGGAGAGAGAGGTCTTCCAGTCACTGGTTCACTCCCCAAATGGCCGCATCAACCAGAGCTGGGACTATCAGAAGCCAGGAGCCAGGATTTTCTTCTGGGTCTCCCACACGGATTCAAGGGCCCAAGCATCTTCTGCTGCCTTCCAAGGCACATTAGCAGGGAGCCGGTTAGGAAGTGGAGCACCCAAGACTGAAGCTGGGGCCCATATGAGATACTGGCGTCTCAGACCATGGCTTAATTTTTTTTCTTGACAGGCAGAGTTAGTGTGAGAGAGAGACAGAGAGAAAGGTCTTCCTTTTTCCGTTGGTTCACTCCCCAAATGGCTGCTATGGCCGGTGTGCTGCGCTGATCCGAAACCAGGAGCCAGGTGCTTCCTCCTGGTCTCCCATTTGGGTGTAGGGCCCAAGCACTTGGGCCATCCTCCACTGCCTTCCCTGGCCCAGCAGAGAGCTGGACTGGAAGAGGAGAAACCGGGACAGAATCCGGCGCCCCGACTGGGACTAGAACCTGGGGTGCCGGCGCCGCAGGTGGAGGATTAGCCTAGTGAGCCACGGCGCTGGTTGAGACTCAGCTGACCATAAATGTGAAGGTTGGTTTGTGGACTCCGATTCTATGCCATTGATCTCTATTCTGTCTTTATGCCAAGCCAATACTGCATTGTCTTGTTTACCGTTGTTTTGCAATAGGTTTTGCAAGAAGTAAACATTCGGTTCATTTTCAGAGTTAGATGATCAGCTGTGAGTAGACAACTAGCTCGCATAACAGCTAGGTTACATGCACCTGAAACTGCTATTTAGGCAAAACAGCTGGAGCAAACGCTGGGAAGACTGTAACCCATTAGTACTCAGCCAATGAGGACCTGGGGGGAGGGACCTGCATGCCAGCAAACAAATGGCTTGCTGTAACCACCGTGGGTGTGCTGGCCCAGCAGGCACCCGGTCGTGGGAGAGTGTCAGGAAGTGCCACAGAAGTGAGACTTCATTGAGTCTGAGTCCATCCTTGGAGTGGATGGGTGAGGCTGTTTCCCACAGTTTTGAACTTGGAAGGTGCGAATCCTCCAACTGTGTTCTCTTGGAAGATGATTCTGGCTGTGCTGGGTCCATCATATTTCTGTGTGAATTTTAATGTCTGAAAAAAAGGAGCCCTCTGGGAATTTGCTAGGGATTCTACTAAAGCTGTAGGCCAATTTAGGGAATAGCACCACCTTATGATTTTGCCAATTCATCAAGGTTATGTGGATTCTACTCATTGTTAGACCCTCTGAGTGAGGATGCTAACACGTCGAGAGGCACACCCCAAAGACTCAGAGTCCAGACCAGCTGATGCAAAAGCAAGAGGACTTATTCAGCGTCTGCGCAGACGGGCCTCCTGAACTCGGGAGTCCAGAGAGCGCCCCCAGCACAAAGCCACACGGTTTATATACCCGCAGCGACCAATCAGAAGCACTATAGAGTCCATGCACACAGCAGTCCAATCCGCGAGCTGATCATGTGAAGGGCATGCGTCTTCTATCCAATCAGCTACGGGATCACATGGGAGGCATGCACCTCGTCGCCATTTTGTTGTTTACTTTAGTAGTTCCTTTCCCTGTCAGCGTCATCTTGTTCACCCTGAGGAGGACGACGTCTCGCTCCCTTTGTTCCCCTGGAGGGAGAGCAGCGTCCCGCTTCCCACACCGTTATCTGAGTATTAGGAGGCATACAAACTGGGTTAGGTCTTAGCACGGCCAGGCACAAGTGTCGCAGCTAGCTAAGCATAAGGTCCCTTATGTTTATAGCTGCACCTAAGTTTAGCTTTGGGGGAAAAAGTTTAGGGCTATAATTTTTAAACTTTAATTTTATTTGGGGCAAAGGTAACTTCTTATTTTTAGTGGTATTGGCTTAGGTCACTCCATCTTGGTTTGATTTTTAAGGTTCTTCACTCATTTAGGTCTTAAATTTTTCTCAGCAATGTTTTTTCTTTTTACGTTTTCTAATTTGCACATATTTTAGTATTTTTAATTCTCAAGTATTTTTGTACGATTGCAAATAGAAGTACATTTGATTTTTGCATATTTAGCATATGTCCAACAACCTTGTTGAACGTGTTCATTAGGTCTAGTAGCTTTTTGGTGAATTTGTTAGGATTTTCTATATGTAACAACACGCCAAAGTGGGGATAGTTTTACTTACTTCTTTTCTGTCTGGGTGGCCTTTATTTTTCTTAACTAGTTACATTGGCTTCAATGTGTACTATGCTGAACAGAAGTGGTGAGAAAGGACATCTCATTTTATTACTGATCTAAGAAGAAAGAATTCAGTCTTCTGCCATTAAATATGCTGTTGACTTTTTTTTAAGATTATTTATTTATTTATTTGACAGGCAGAGCTACAGAGAGAGAGAGAGAGAGAGAGAGAGAGAGAGAAAGGTCTTCCTTCTGTTAGTTCACTCCCCCAAGTGGCCGCAATGGTCGAGCTGTGCCGATCTGAAGCCAGGAGCCAGGTGCCTCCTCCCGGTCCTCCATGTGGGTGCAGGGGCCCAAGCACCCGGACCATCCTCCACCACTCTCCCAGGCCACAGTAGAGAGCTGGACTGGAAGAGGAGCAATTGGGACTAGAACCAGCACCCACATCGGATGCCAGTGCGCCGCAGGCAGAGGATTAACCAAGTGAGCCACAGCGCCAGCTGTGATTTTTTGTTTTTGCAGATAGCTTTAGTCAGGTAGAAGAAGCTCCATGTTATTTCTACTTTGCTGACTTTTTTGTTTTAATCATGAAAAGGCGTTGGAGTTGGTCAAATGATTTTTCTGCAACTGCTTAGATGTTTCTGTCCTTTTGAAATGGTGGACTGCATTCGCCTTTGGGCTCTGCAGCTAACTTTGCGTTTCTGGGACTTACCCCCTTGAGCATGTTACCAAGTCTTTTCATGTGCTGGTGGCTTTGGTTGGGAAGCATCTGGTTTAGGATTTCCGGGTCTACCTCATTAGAGACACTGTCTGTAATTTTCTTCCCGCGTGTTGTCTTTGGCTCACGTGGGTATCAGGGTAACGCTGGCCCCATGGGATGAGCAGGAGAATATTCCCTCTTTCATTTCTTGGAAGACTTGGTGAAGAACTGGCATTCATTCTTCCTTAAACACGTGCAAGACTTCAGCAGTGAAGCCATCTGGACCTGCATTTCTCTTTGTAGGAAATTGTAAAATTACTAATTCTGCCTCTTTGCTCGTTATAGATTTATTCAGATTTCCTTTTTTCTTTTTGAGTCGGTTTTGGTGGTTTGCGTGCTTCCAGGAATTGGCTTCATCTGAGTGATCTGCATTTGTTGCCTTACAGTTCCGCGCATCAACTTCTTGAGAACGATCCCGTGTCCATTCTCCATGGCTATGGTGGCGGAGCTCCCTGGTCACATTTTTTTTTTTATAAATATTTATTTATTCAAGAAGCAGAGTTACAGAGAGAGGGAGAGATGAGAGAGAGAGAGAGAGAGAGAATCTTCCATCCACTGGTTCACTCCCCATGTGGCCCCAACGGCCAGAGCTGGGCTGATCCAAAGCCAGGAGCCAGGAGTTTCTTCCATGTCTTCCACGTGGGTGCAGGGGCCTAAGTGCTTGGGCCATCCTCCACTGCTTTCCCAGGCCATTAGCAGGGAGTTGGATCTGAAGTGGAGCAGCCAGGACTTGAACTGGTGTCCACATGGGATGCCAGCACTGCAGGCAGAGCTTAGACCCTTTCAGTCCGAGGTGGGGGTGCTGCATTTGGTGTTCCAGCCAGGGGTGAATTTCAGTCCCAGTGGCCCGGAAGAAATTAGATATTGAAGACAGGAGAGGAGGTAAGAAGAAGAAGAAAAAAATAAAGCACGCTTCCTATTAGTAGCCACTGAACTGAGGCTGCACAGGGCCAGAAAAGCACGCTCCTGGGCGAGTAGTGGTAGCTGCATTCTGTTAAACCACGACTGAGCTTCAGGGAGACGCAGGCTCTGCCGGCTGGAAAGGTGGGTTTGGAGAACCTGGTTCTCCCCGATCCCTCCTTCTAGGTCCTCCACTGGATCAGAGGCTGTAGCTTCTGGCGCCGGGATGGAGCTGGAGGGACTAGGACAGTTTTCCAGCACAGTCTGATGGGAGGTCCTTAAAAGGCACAGAGGGGATTTCTCAGGGATTCTGCATGGACAGGACTCTGTCCCTGGGGTACCGTTCAGCAGAACTGGAGCCTCACAGCGGGTGAAACACAGAGTATTGCTCCATGTCCCCCCAGATGGAACCTACCAGTGACCTACGATCATTTGATGCACCTCACTGGCTGTAACAAAAAGGCTAGGATACATACTTTAGGTCAATGTCTAATTGGGATAATTCTTGATTTTCTTCCATTGTTGCATGTTGGGCGAAGGTTGGTTACTTGTCTCATTCTGTCGACGTGTTGCCCGAGAGCCACATATGCACTAGTCTGAGCCTACACTGAAGAAATACTATTACCTACAGATCCTGAATGAAGGGTGGGGTTTCTGTGACGAACT